GAAGAACAGAGAGGCCAGCAGAGTTGAATGTGTGTGCAAAGTGAGTGCAATGGGTCATGGAATGTAAACCAGGGAAGGATGACTGAGGACATGAAGAGGGTAGGATTAGAATTTCTCATGGGATGGAATAATTTCTGTCATGGGACTCTGGAGGGATCAAGCTGGAAAAATAGTAGACGGAATTATCCTTGGCGCTTCTTTTTACTGTAACTTCAGCAAATTCTGTGGTATCCACTTTCAAAATTAACCCAGACTCTCTGCCACTGGTCCCAGACCCCATCATCTGTATCTTGCCAGGGTTACTGCAATAGCCCACTGCCTTGTCACTCTGCTTCCCTCTTCTACTCTCTATGGTCTTGTTTCCATACAGTTCCCAGACAAACAGCATTAAAGACTTCCCACCTCAGTTCCTCCAGTGCCTCCCTATTTCACCCAGGAACAACAGACCCAGTCCTTAGCATGGCCGACTAGGTCCTATGTGGTCTGGCTCTCGGTCATTTCCCCAAAGTGACTGTCACCTCTCCTCCCCTGGCTCACTAAGGGCTACCTCTGTGTCTGGCCATGGCTCACACAGGATGACCATATGACCGTCTCCAGGCCTTTGCACGTACTATCCCTCTTCCTAGAACTCTAGCTCTTTGCAGAGATATTCACGTGGGGTATTCCTACACTTCATTCTGAGGTCTGCTCTAATGACACCCTCACAGAGTCCCTTTTGAACACACTCAAATATAAAATAGCAGCCCTGTCGCTCTAAACCTCTCTTTACTATTGTTTCATCCTTCTTCATAACACTTATCACCACTTTGTGTTATATTATACTTGTTTATCTGTTGTCACTGTCCCTCCCATGGAAGGGACTTTCTCTTTTTGACTCAATTGGTCCTCAGAGCCTACAATGGTGCTCGGCATACTGGAGATGCTGAGTAAATATTTCTTGAGTAAATGAATGAATGAACAGCCCATTCAAAAAGATCTCAGAGATCAATCTTCTTCCACCCCCCACTACCTACATAAAGGCCCAAATAACACATCCAAAGAAACAGAGCAACTGGCAAAGCTAAGACAATTTTACCTTCTACCTCCCAGAACGTTTCCATCTTTTAACTGCCCCCTTCCTCACCATTCACACAGACATTTTTTTGGCCTAAGTCCTGCAAACAGCAACAGCCCTCTGACTATTCTTACATATCTTACCCTCTCCCACTTCCTGACTGCAACTCAGAAGAATTTTTCTTTCACGTTACTAAACAACAAACACTTACTGTAACGTGTAATATACATATATATGTAACTTCATATTGTGGTTAGTTCTCCCTACCCAAGAGCTCTAAATCATCAGGTTACTGATCTTTGTGTTGTGCAGTATCTGGTACACAGCACATATCCTTAAGAAACATGTATTGCACAGGCTGCTGCTTCTTGCTGGAATGTTCTTCAAGGTTTCCACATGGCTCACACTTTTAATCCCTTCACCTCTTTGCTCAGGAAGGCCCACCCTTTCAACTTAAAACTACAGCCTCACCTCTGTCTTATTTTGCTGTATTTTACTCCAGAGCACACATCACTTTCTAAAACAACACCACAGCTTTTTTACTCTTGATACTTCCCCATCTAATCAAAGCACCACCACGAGCAAGCACTTCTTTTGTTTGCTTCACTGTTAACATCTCCAGCACCTAGAAGAGTTCCTGGCACATGCAGGTGCTTAATAAATACTTGTTTTAAAAATGAATTACAATTCTGTGCTTGGAGTAGCTCTGTTTAGGAACACATTGAGAGGGAGAAAACAACATATCTGGGCTCCAAATGATATCACTGATGGCCGCACAGCTTGTAAGCATCAGCCCATGACATGATATGTGAGTAGCAATGAGGGTCACAAAGATTAATAAAGACTTCTGATTTGGGGTAGATATTTACTTAGTAGTAATAATTTAATACATGACTGTTGAATGATCTGGCTAAGCAGGCAATCAGGCACTTCAGCACAGTGTGCAGTACACACAGGTGAAACCCTCGCCTTAACCTGAAGACATCTGAGCACTAGTTAGGATGAGGCAGCCTTAAGAAGTGGTAGAGAAAGCACAGGAACATATAATGGTTAATTTCCACACCAATTTCAGGACCTTTGTCAGTGAAGGTAGCACTGAGTCCTGTTAATTTTATATATAGTTCAAAAGAAAAAAAGCACATTGGCTGTTAGAGAGCACTGTAATTAATCCAGTAATTATGAATAAACAAAAAGATGGATAATGTGTTCCAAGATTATCAAATTAGATCTGAAATAGTGGGATGGCAAGTGAGTTTCTCATGTTCTGTGGAACCAAAAAATTGCAAAAGTTCATGCAACACTGAGTGAGATAGCCTAGCAGAGAAGAGGATGGGCGGGAGGCAGGGAAGTGAGTGAGGCGGTCAGTATGATGCTGTAATTTAGTAGTTAGTATTTACTTCATATGTAATTTTTAATGGCATTACATAATTTGATATTTATTTTATTCTGAAAAAAAGTTTCTAAACAGAAACTGTCTTAAGAAGATATTCAGACCTAATGATTTAAACAATTTTAAACATAATTCAACTTGCTTCTAAATACTTAAGAAAAAAAGGGTTTTCCTTAAATATCACTACCAGTATATCCCAAAGTTTTCAAAATACTTTCAACCAAGAATGTATAGCAGTGAAGGAAGGTAAGGTTTGAAAGCAGCTATGTGCCTTGTGAGGGTCCAAATTTAGGAAGGCCATGGGTGCAGACACTGAAGGAGCCTGGAACTCAGAGAAGGTCCTCAGTGGGCCCGGGGGGTACACAGTGTGTTCTTCCTCCCAGCACACACACCAGGGAAGGTCCTCTGCAGCCCCTCTGCCTTCAACAGAAGGCGCAATTGGCCCCAAGAGGAGATCTGTCTAAGGTCCCACAGTCATCCCTGGCTCCTGCTCTAGTGGCTCCCAGGGCTACAAAATCACAGTAAAGTACTTCCTTGTTGTGCTTACCAGGATATGTCATAGGCCAAGTTATGTCATATGAAGGATGACTTCTACGCACGTGCACATACACACAACACACACACACACACAAATAAATATGCAATCATCTCTCAACCCATTTTCAACTCGACAGGAGCCCTGTTTTTTCAGAGGTAATGATTTGTCCACACTCTCTCACACATGTTTGGGAGAGGGCTGCTTGCAGGGGCCTGCAGCAATGCACATGGGAGTAGAAAAACTAGCCCATAGATACCCAATTTTCTTCAGATATGAGCATCATGCTAAGTATATAGTTATGTGAGAATTTAGACACAATGTTTCCATTTTCCAGAAGATCTTAGGAGGTTGTCTTGGTAATGCCAATTTGCTACCAGGGGACTCTCTACTCCTGGACACTCAGAACTTGTACAATCACACTGTACCTGAACCACCTAGGCCTCATGGGGCCCCATGATATACTGAATTTCCCTCATCCTCTGAGCATCAGTGAAAGGCTGAGGTATCTATCTGGATAAAAAAGAAAGTCTCACAGATCGGGAAGATGGAGAGATGCTGGTCAAAGGGTAGAAGCCTTCAGTGTCAGATGAATAAGCTCTGGGAATCTAAAGTACAGCATGGTGACTATAGTTAGCAATACTGTGTAGTATATTTGAAATTTGCTAAGAGAGTAGAATTTAAGGGTTCTCACCACATGCAAAAGAAAGGTAACTATGTGAAGTGATGCATGTGTCAATTAACGTGATTGTGATGGTCTTTCACAAAGTATATGCATGTCAAATCATCACACTTTAAATATATACAATTTGTCATTTATACTTCAAGACTGAAAAAATTTTTAAATAAAAACAAAACAAAATCCTCAGTATATAATCCATCTTCTGGTTTTTACTTGCCTTACTCATGTCAACAGGAGAAAAATAAGTTTTAAATTAAAAACCAGATCAACTTTGAAACAGCTGCTTTTTTAGTAGCTTCTTTTAGTAGCTGCTTTTTTTAGTATGCTTCTTCATACATTTTAGAGACTCAAAGGACTAACCTAATATGTGACAATACCTTTAAAGAAATAGGAAAATGTAATTACATTCTGTAATTACAACATGGGTCCAATCTCCATTATAAGACTCAAAATTTAAGGTAGTAATTTCCCATTTTTGATCAAATGTTACCTACTTTTTTCTCTGATGTTACATATTTGAGGAAGGATAATCAGTTCTGAATGATGTTCTCCAAATGATAAGACATTAACATATTGACCTAATTCCACTTAAACTTCTTGGATTATGTAAACAATAGTTTCTAAACCAAACCCTGTTCATCAAACTTTGTGAGCCCACATTACTAAATAAGATGAAAATAAAACTATGTAAGTAAAAATCTCCATACATTTTCACTCTTTCATGTGCATTTATTAAGAAAATAAATGTGTCTTATAGTGCATATCTTGAGATGGCAGGAGAAAAAGGAGTGCAAAGATGAAAGAGCATTACAAAAGTGACTGACCGGGGCTGTAACAGCGAGTGAAAATGTTGCTTGATCTGTACGCAAAACACCCACCACTTATGAGACACGGGCTTTTTGCTGTTTTACTTACAGCTCTTCTTTGTAATCTAACTAGGTTCTTAGTCAAATGAAAATAAAACAAAACAACAGAAATACAACCTTATTTCTTGAACCCAAAAGAGAATATTCAAAATGCAGAAGCGTGCTGATGATGTCTGTTCAAGGAATTCACTGGATTGTGACTTTACCTTTTTTAAAATTGTAGACTACTTTAAGACTTAGAGAGAAGTTGCAAGGAGAGTACTGAAAATTCTTTGTGTGCCCTCGTCCAAGTTTCCCCGAATACTGACAAGTCTCCTAATCATGGTGTCTTTGTTAAAACTAAGACACTAACTTGGGATAATACTATCAACTTACAAACAGGCTTTCTTCTGATTTCACTAGTTTTTCAACATATGTTCTTTTTTGGTCCTGGGATCCAATCCAGGACCCCATGCTGAGTTCAGAAGCCTTACCTTTTGATCTGCTTCTTCATCCTCATCCTGATAATCATCACAGAGTGGGCTGGAGGTGGCTGCGAAGGTGGGTCCCTGGGAGTAGTACTGAGAACTTCGGCAACCATCCCGCCGCAGTTTATCACATTCTGTGGAGCAAACAGGCCGAGGAGATGAGAGAGGGCATTAAAAATCACGATGTGTTTACTCTGCTTCATTTACCTTTTTTAGTAATATTTTCCCAGGCATTATAACAGTATGAGTAATGAAAATGATGATAAAAACTACTAATAATTAGTGAAGGACCTAGTACACACTACATGCCACGTTAACGTACTTTAAAAGGATTACCTTTAGACTGAACACAGCCCCCTGAGTCACTTTATGATTCTTCAGTTATTTATCTGTAATGTTTTACAAGTAAGTAGTGACTCAGAATTTGAACCCAAGGTCTTAATTACCATAATTTTGGACACACAGCATTTGATTATGTAATTCCTCATCAAAAAATACAAGCAATTCTCAAGCAGTGCTTGTTTCCTAGATTCATCAGCTGGAAGTGACATGAGAAATCATGGGATATAATGCTCCATTTTATTTTTAGTCTCAACTTCACTTCAATGCCCAACAGCCTATCATCACTGCGAATTTATTATGAAGCCAGTGGTAGTCTGGTATGTCTGGCAGTGTACAGAGGAAGGCATAGCACCACCAGGTGGAAGGTAACTAGGGGCATGGTCCCTTGCATCACAGTGGGGCTGGGGCCCCTGGCTGCTTAGAGACCAGTGATTCCCTTCGAGGAGGAACCAGCGTGCTGATTACTCTCATCAGCAGGACAAGTGCAGCATGAAAAGTACTGGTGACTTTTTAAAGCCCCAGGAGCAGGAGCTTTCCTGTTACCCAGACACTGTGACCTTAGAGGAGCACATGCCTTTCAAAAGGAATCACCACAGGATTCTTTTAAATACCCAGCTTGCTCAAGGAATACAAGACATATTAGGTTTTGGAAAAGTTTCCTCTTTGCAGAGCTTTACAAAACCATGTACCTAATGGCACAGAACTAAAGGCGGGGCATCTTAAGAGTTCCTTTCTAATACTAGGATATGATATCCGTTTCTTCCTCAAAGAGGAGGGGAACAGGCACTTTCACGGAGGGATAAATATTTTCCACCTGGAGAATAAAAAATTCCTTTCTCTCTTTTTGCTTCCTGACAAGTGGGAATGCAAAGAGAGCCGCAGACCAGATTTTTTTAAATACCATGGAAGTAGTCATGAAGAATTTTTAGAATGCCAAACTAACTAAAAAATGCATATGTAATCATAATATAGTAAATACTATTTCCGTTACTTGTGGTAAACAATGTGTGGCATAGGCTGGAAACAACTCTTAATATTGAGTAAAATGGAAATTAAAAAAAGAAATTCTGAAACTTCCAGAACACAACGTGTTTTTTAATGAAGAGTTACTCATACTATCTACCTCTTTCACTGAGAAATGTTTTCACATTTTCTCCAATACTTGACAATTTCTCTAAAAAAGTAAATAGTACAATCTGAATCTATACTCTCATTCTACAGAGATATGTTCCACAAAGTATGACTGGTAGTTTTGAAACTGTTCTGTGCAGAGTTTTGGGATTCTGTAAATATTTGGTTTGATCTTCTTTCAAGAAAAGCTAGAATAAAAAAAAATAGCTCTCAGGTACAATAGTTTTACATTTCATTAACTTGTGCTGTGAAACTGACTTTTCTGTGGCCCGGTAAAATTGAGGTCTCCTACGGATTCAGGGTGAATCTTGTAAAATGACTTAATACTGTTAACCCTCACAGCTACTTAATTATATTATTCTGTATTTTCAAAAACTTGACAAAGTACAAAGTGAAGACCCAGAAGCCCTTTTAAGCTAAGTCCTTCTGTTATTCAACACTGTCTTTTTTTCCTCACTAAATTATAGAATTTTATAATATTAAACATCTGTTTTACCTGTTGGGTGCCATGTATGATTCTGTGCTTGAAAGATTTCTATGCTAGGAAATAAGGAAGGACTGCTGGGCTAGATCTTCTCTAAGGGCTTGACAATAATGTTAAAAGTGGCTAAAATGACTAATACTTATTAAATCTCAAAAGACCAAAATATTACAAACTATCATCCCCATGTTAAAAGGTTGAAAGTCTGGCAGTTATTAGTATCTGCCTTGTACATCACCTTTTGAGCCTAGTTTAAAAGACAATACCTCTTTTTCACACAAGGAAGTTTATGTTACAGAAATGTTTGAAGAGTGGTATGACGAACAGTAGTCTATCAAATGAAATACGATGCTGGGTCTAAGATTAAACAAGGCAGTATAACTTCACGACAGGTGAACAATTTTTTTTTCCTTATCAAATGCCTGAATCTAGTAAACTCATTCCATTGTTACTTATCTTACTCCAGCTCCAGGGGAAATCTAGGAAAATTTCCTCTTGTCAAGTTGCAATGGCTCTTTGACTTTTGAAAGCTGTGGCTTTGTTCTTTAAAAACTGAGTTTATTGTCTATAGAGTGAGACATAAGTCGTGCAAGCCATCATGAATAAACAAAGACTTTTCAAACACTAAATTGAGAGCTACAGCAAGGCAAAGCCTAATTTAAAGCTATGTTATGCCAGCAACTACAGGCTAGAAACAGGATACTAAATGTAATAGAAGATCTATCTTAACACATACTCTTCTTGCAACAGAAAGAGCAAAACCAGGTACTGTTCTCACAGCAATGCTTGGATAAAGGTGTCACTGTTCGTTGTGTCCTCTGGTTTCCCAACCACCAATTTCCTCCTCTTTCCTGTCATGTCAAACTATTTTCTTTAGCACAAGAACAAAGATTTCTTGGTAGACCAAAGTTTTTAATATAGAAGAGAAAAAATAAATGTCATATTGCGGGATGGTCATCTATTCATTTTGTGAATTTAATACATCTTTGGTCTCCAAACCTTCATGCATTAAGCTATACTTTAGGATTTTCTTTTTAATAATTTAGACATGTTAACAGAATCTACTGCAAGACACTTTAAAGAGTTATTTTCAAAATAATTTTCTCTGCTGGAAATCCTTGATAAATTTGCACTTTCTAAGTTGTGCTCCTAAATTTGTATAGGAATAAATCAGGCACAGTGAGCTAGAATATGCAGCAGTTACAGTTTCAAAATCCCAGTGGCTTAACCCAACTAGAAGAATTTTTCCTGCACATTCTTCTCATTCAGGCAGCTCTAGCAGGGGCTCTGCTCATCTGCAGCACTCAGGGGCCAGGCAGAGGACATTCCAAGTCAACTTGTGTTTGCGCGATCACACGGCGGTGCTGTGAGAATGCGGCACGTCTCAGGCTGGCTCCTGGAACTTCTGCCCGAGTTCCTGTTTCTTCGGACAAAACAAACCACATGGCCAAAACTAGCTTCAAAGGGGACAAGAAAGGGCAATCCTACCTCATGAGAAAGGAAATGAGAATATTCAAAACAGCTCAAATGACTCTTTCAAAAAGAGGGATAATACCAAATATAAGACTTTTCAGGTTCTTATTCCACTTATTTAATGTTTATTTCCAATCCATGAAAGAGGTTGAGAGCCTTTTGATATAGAACCTGCAGGAACAATGAAAAGCAATCCTTCCGTGTTTTAGGAACAGGAGGTAAACCATTGGGAGGGTCTCTGTATGGAGGAGGAGGTGAGTATCTGGAAGTCGGAGGGTACTGACACCACTTACTACCCACGAAACCTAGCGGGGAGCATTTTAACCTCCTGGAAACTCAGATTCCACCTCTGTAAAGTGGGGACATTACTCCATCTCTGTAGCTGTTATGAGAGTCACCGAACAAGCATTAAGAGTATCCTGCTCTCTGAAGTGAGACCAGGTACTGCAAGTCAAACTCTGCACAGAAGTATCGGGTGGTGGGTGCTCAAAAAATGGTCTGTCAGAACTGACCGCATAAAATATAACTACCTCAAACTCTTCCACCTCTAAAAGCCAGCAGCAATTCCATAACAAGATGTGGCTTTAAGACTGTACAATTTACCTAGCCTTTGGCTACATCTTTATTAAAATATCATAAGGCTGTATTTCTTTTCCTAAGTAGGTATAACACCCATACTGGGACTCTCTTACTGTCAGTGGCTGGAACATTTACTTCTAACTCCTCTGAGTCCAAAATAGAGCTAAAATATTTGAACTGATTGAACTGCAGAATTTATAGTTATGAGCTCATGAGTTTTACATGACATAAAGCCTCATACCTAAGCATGTTTTTACACTGGAAGATTATAAGCCAGGTGCTTGGTAAATGTATTTGATAGAGTATAACTATTAAAGCAAGGAGAGGAAAGGTTCTTTGATCTGATAGTATATATTATGGGCTGAACTGTGTCCCCCAAAAAGACCTGGGACCTGTGAATGTGATCTCATCTGCAAATAGGTCATTCCAGATGTAATCATGCTATAATGAGGCCATTAGGGTGGGCCCTAATCCAGTATGACTGATGTCCTTATAAGGGATATTGGCACCATGTGACAACACAGAGACACACAGACACAGATGGAAGAAAGCCATGTGAAGACAGAGACAGAGACTGGAGTTACACTGCCAAAAACCAAATGCCTGAGGCCACCCGAAGCTGGAAGCAAAGGAGGGATTCTCCCTACAGATCAAAGGGGCAGCCCTGCTGACACCTTGATATTGGACTTCCAGCCTCCAGACCTGTAAGACAATAATTTCTAATATTTTAAGCCACCTAGTTTGTGGAAATTTATCACTGCAGCCTTAGTAAATTACATAGTATGGAACCAGGAAATGGTAAGATGAGGAAGAAATTTATAAGGATCTTCAAGGAAATGGAAGGAGGTTGTCCCTTGTCAGGAACTGCAGAGCATCATGGAAAGAAACTGGGACAGGAATTAGGTAAGAACAGATACCCATTCAGCTCCTGAAGAGCTGTGCAACTCTGGGCAAGAAATGTTTGTCAGCCTCAGGGACTCATCTCTAAGGTCCTAGAAGTTTTCCTTCATGGTGGAGGAAAGCAAGACGTGATAACAGCTCTCAGCAGACAAAACAGTAACTACTGCATATTAACAATATTAACTGTGATCAAGGGCTCCCTATAACTCTTGGCACTGGCTCTAAGAG